CAGCGTTCTTCAAGGATTTTTATTCTCTTCTTTTCATCTTCAACAGTTTGGTTGAAGTTTGGTAAATTCTGAAGAAACATTGTATCATTTTTCTGGACAGAATTCTTCATTTTTTCATAGTCATTCTTATTGAAATTTTTAATTTTAATTTTTTCACCATTTGCTATTTTTTGTCCTTTCCAATTTCAAATTTCTTATTTAAAATATTCATTATCATTATTTGGTCATCATTTGCTTTTCCCGGTTGGACTATTATTGCTTCTTTTGCTATTTCAGCTGTTGTTCCTATATATATATCATTTTCAGTGGGTTTTTTAATCTTGCAGTACCTCATAAACATTGGTGGTATGTCTGTATTTTCATCAGAAAGTATTTGGTATTTAACATTTTTCCCTTCATTAATAGTTGGTAGTATTATATGTCTCATTTCTATAGGATATTTTTCTTTTATTTCCTTATAGAAATTAAAGTTATTTTGGTCGTTGTCTGTCATTTCTGATATATCATCTGGTACTCCTATTCCTTCTTTTTTCAGTGATGGTAGTGGTGGTGTTTTATCCCCTATTGTTGAAGTTTCATATATATCTTTTAATCCTTTCTCAATTCTTGTATTATTTCTCCAGGCTATTTCTGGATTGGTAAATTTAAATACTTTTTTCCAATGGTTTTCATCAAAATTTGTATGTCTTGGTATTGGATAGTATACATCTTGACCCCTCCAGGTAGATTTTAATGTTTTAGTATAATCTGATTCATACAGAGTATAGTTTGTTGATGATCCTGCTTCATTTTGATCTTGTGGGTCATAATATACTCCTTGTTGTTGTTGGTATCGTATTGGTCGATTTAGTCCTTCATTTTCTATTTCTTGTTCTACTTCATCCATTTCTTTCTCATCTTCAGATGTTATCTCCTCTCTTTGTTGGTTTTCATAAAGTTCTCTTCGTACTTTATTTTGTTTCCTTCATTCTGTTAGTCTTGGGTTATTTGATGTCGGATACGATATTTGTGAGTCATATGATCTAGTTCTTTTATGTGTTGTTATTATTTCTTCTCTATGGTCTTGGTCGCCATATAGACTTTCGTGTTCTGATATATTTTCAGGATGGACTTTCTGCTTTAATGTGATGATTTGTTTGGTGTTGATTGTTGTGATCCTCTTCTTGAGAATAGTCTTTTTATTGATGGAATATTTGGTAATAGCCAGTTTTTTGGTGAGTTTGACCTTGAATGTTGATCTTGTTGATTTACCCATGATTCTGTTCTATTTTCACTATATCTGTCTTTTAAGATCCATTGGTCTTCATCATTTTCATCATTAGTTTTAGTGGAGTCTGTTGGTGATATTGGTATTATTGGTGGTGGATTTCTTGGAAAGTCTTCATGTGGTTTATAATATTCATGATACAGTTTCAATGGTGGGAATATTTCTGGTTTTGGTTTTTGTCTTTTTTCTTATTGTTCTTTAAATATTTCGTTTTCTATATCTTCTGTATCATGCATTTGTCCTAATAATTCTAATTCTACTCCTAATAGTTCTTGATATTTTGTTGCATCTGTTCTCTTACCGCTGGTTCTCTCCAATATTCTATTGATTCTATTAATTTTTGCATTATTATTTGTTTTTCGAATTCTTGCATTTGGTAGAATTCTTTTTTACTCATATTTAAGGTTGGTGCTACTTCTATAGCATATGTTTCTTCTATTTCTTTTACTAAGTCTCTGTTTTTCCATAGGAATGCATTTTTTGATTGTGTTAATGCTTCTATTGTTTGGAATAAATATTCTTTTCATGATTCTGCTTTTTCTGCCATGTCTAATTTTTTCCTTGTTATATTTTCTATGTCTCTAATGTGTTCATTGGTTTGTTCTGGTAATAGGTTGGATACATATTTATAATGTCTTTCCATATCTTCCATTCTTTGTTTTAACTGTTGAATTCCTTTTCGTATTTTTGGATCACTTATGTCCACTTCTTGTTGTAGTATTTTATCTAATTGTGATAGTTTCGCTTTGAAGAATGTCCCCATTTTTGTTGCTGACTTATTACTACTTTCTTCTGGTTTATTTTCAAAATTTAATTTAGGAGTTTCCTTTTTCTTTCCTTTATTCTTTTTCGTTTCTGGTGTTATTATACTATTTATAAAGTTTTCAGCTTCTTGTTGAGCTTCTTTTATAAGGGTTTGATTTAGTTTTTGTTGTTCCTTACTTTGTGGTTGTTCATACTGCGCTGCAGCTGTCATTTGTTGCATTCTTCTTGCTAGACCCATTACATCTGGATCTTCGAATTCCATTCCCAATAGAATTGTTATTCCGCCTGTTCCTGAATCATATCCTGATGATTCTTTCAGGTCTTGGTCTTTTTCTTTTGACCATTCT